GATCCTAAATATGTGATATGCATGTTCCCTTTTTTTTTTCCTTTTTTATTATCTTTTTATTTATTATATTTTTTATTTTGTAGAAAATGCATGATGCCCCTCCTTTTTTTGAAAGAAGGAATGTATGCTTCTCACAAATCTTATTTTCAGACTAGGTTTTCTCTCACATGATAATGCATTTTTAATTTTGTGTTTTTCTTTACCTTAGGGGAATTATAAAAAATAAATGAATAGTTTGAATAGACAAAATGCAACAAACATATGCTCATACAATCCATGAACAGTCGCGTATAAATCCATGGTCTGTGGTCCATGTTAAGAAAAGTGCATTGTACAAGGCAGTTCTAATTATCCTCACTTTGGTCTTAAGGTCCCCAAGGTGCCCCCATTATAAGGACCTAGTATCTCTGTCGCCGTCACCTGGCAAACTCCAAGGATTGTCGTAGTATTTCGAGCTAGAGTAACCGGTTATCACCTTGAGTGTGATTTTCGACAAAGCTCGCAGCTCCAAGGCCAAACTTGGGTCGGTCGTACATCAACCACTCCCTAGGTTTAATACCCTCATGCCCCCGGGTGTAGGGGGAACTGTTGTGTGCAAAGGTTTGTGTACAATTTGTATTCAAACAGGTGCAGAATTTAAATAAGCAAACATATATCAAAGCCAAACAAAGAAAACAAACAAGGTAAAAGGGGAAAATATTTAAATTATTATTCTTATTTTATTGACTTCATCATTTATTTGGGCCTGACCCTCTTAAAACGTCCCCAATGGAGTTGCCATCTGTCGCAACCCGAAAATTTCTGATCTTGCGACCTATGGTTTAGACATCATTTTAAAAGTCTCATTAATTAAGGAATGTCCGGACACCAGACTAATCCTTAATTAATGGTTTTGAAGATAGGTTCATGGAGTCAACACCAATATTTTACTCAAAACATTGGAAAAAAAAGGTTTTTAAAGATCCAATAATGGCCTTGATAACCAGAATTGGGTTCGGGGGCCGGAATCGGTACCCTATGATGAAGTTAACATGGTAAGAATTAATAAATTAAATATTGAATTCCCTTTATTAATATTTATTTACATATTGAAATTTTAAATTATACGACTAACCCTAAAATATTTACATGATTGCGTAAAAAATGGAGATAAAGATAAGAAATAAAAGATATAAAAAAAGATTGATTGAAATACCTCTTGAACGAGCTCTATTGAATCTTCAAATATGGAGGAGGTGCTTTATGGCAACCTTTCACACTACAATATGCCTCACAAATCTCAAGAAATACAATAGGAGAGAAAGAGAGAGAAATTTTGTGCTCTAAGGAGTCTTGGACGAAATTTTTGGGGCCCTGAGAATTGTTCTTGAGATTTCTATTTATAGGCATCAAATGTGGGCCGGAACGGCCCGTTCTGGATTTAGAACGGCCCGTTCTGGATTTAGAACGGCCCGTTCTGGATTTAGAACGGCCCGTTCTGGATCCGAACGTTATGTGTTAATTTTGACCCTAGAACGGCCCATTCTGAAATTAGAACGATCCGTTCAGGAAAACAGAACGGCCCGTTCTGATATGAGAACGACCTGTTCCGGGGTTCAAATTAACACTAAATTCCCTTCCCAGAATGGCCCGTTCCAAACTAGGTTTGTTAGGCCTTTTTAACCTTTTGGAACGGCCTGTTCTGGTTTAGGAACGACCTATTCCAGACCAAGTTTTTTAGGCCCTTTGATTGGTTTGGAATGGCCCGTGCTAGTTTGGAACGGCCCGTTCTAACCTATAATTTTTAGGCTTTTTAGGAGCCTCGGAACGACCTGTTTCAATTCAAGAATAGCCCGTTCCGGACTTGGGAACGGCCTGTTCTGATTTTGGAACGGCCTGTTCCGGGCCACTAAAAATAGTTGATTTGGGCTTTTGGGCCCTCTGATGTCCTATCTTGTTTTTTGTATGCCCCCGGATAAAATTGGGTGTCTACAAGCATTGTGTATGATTCCTCTTAATAGTCCCTCAGTCTCCATTGTATATATATTGTATGATACTTGTACATAGTAGTTACTTGTATAGGTATATTTTGCCTTTATATTTGTGAAGCACTTTCTTTCTTTTCTTATAGGTTATCCCTTTGGGATTTTAGGGTATGTTACTTGCAAACTTTTACTTCATTTGACCTTATATTAAGGATCATTGATTTTCATATTTTAGTAGTAGAAGTGATGTGACAAATAGTAAAGTGTGTAAGTGAAGCTAGCAATTGGGCCTATAGTGGGCCTAAGCTAATTTTTATATATTGGGCTTATTTTCTCCATTTAATCCAAGGAATTGATTTAGCTAGGTGTCACCTTCATTAGGTGAACCTAACTAAACCAATTCCAACATTTTTGGATTGGATTAAGTGAAGGAAAACAAGATGGGCCGCCTAGCTCTTCTAGCTTCTCCCACACAATTGGATAGCTTATGCTACAAGGTTCTAGCCTAGCTTGCTCCCCAAACTTCTAAGTTCGAAGCTTGTTCCACAAGCTTCCAAGTTACTAGACGGTTAGCTTGAGTGTAAGAAGGCTAACCATGGTTCTCTTTGAACCATAGTTAGTTTAGCTTGCACCACAAGTTTCTCCCTCACTATATAAGCCTTTTTCTTCACTTTGTAAACACTTTTGAAGCATATATTGACATAATTCCAAAAATTGTTCAGATTTTCTCTCTTCTAAAGTCTTAACCTTTTTTATTTTAATCCATTTCTCTTATCCTCTTCATACAAGAGTGTGGTGAGATTTGAAGTGGCTAATTTTCCTCCAAGGAGTCGCGCCACTTGAGAGTGTTCTTCATCATTGAAGGTGAAATCCGAAGCTTCTTTCTCCATTGGAAGAGTTGGAGAATTTTAAGGAGAACCAAGTAGGGGGAGCTTGAAGAGGAATCAACATCAATCCAGTTCCAAAGCAAGTTTCCATCACATGGTGGTGTCTAGTCTCAACAAACACACCTTGCCACATGGAAACCTCCTATTAGCTCTTCTAGATCTAGAATGGTGTCATGAGTCAATCTTTTCTTACTTTGCCACATGATAAGATCTCATTTTCCATTCTAGATCTAAGATAATGACATGTGGAGAGGTGTTGGCCGAATTTGAATTTTGACTAGGGTTAGTATTCTTGAGTTCAAGTTAACCTAGAGCCTAGGTTATGAAATAACCTAGGTTAGTTTAACTTACATCACAAGCCACTAAACATTATATATACATGTAACCTCACCTTGGATGAGTACTTTGGATCATTTTGTGAGAAATACAATCGAGTTTCCTCCTTTTAAAGTTTAGTTCTTCTCTCTCTTAAAGACACTTCTCCTTATGAACTTTTATTAAGAAATTTCTCTTTGTGACAAGTTTGTCTTTTCTTGCTCATCTTCTATTTAGAAGTGGCGTGTTCATTACTCTCCTTGTCCACCATTGAATTTTTGTTTTTAACCTTTTGAAATCCATGGAAGAAGATTGAAAGAACATTGGACCTAGTTTAGGATTTCACCAATCATATTCAACCTAGTTTCATCAAAGGTTCAAATTGAGCAATTTTAGTCCTAAAATATCGCAATTATGCAATTTTGGTCCCCCCCATATTTTAATTAAGCAATTTTAGTCCCTTAAGTATCATAATTGTACAACTTTAGTCTCTTAAGTATCATTATTATACAATTTTTTATTTATTTAAGTTACATATATTATAATTTTTATTCATGTATTAAGTGATATATATTTATTATTACTAAAATTATTTATATATAATTTAAATATGTAAAAATTTGTATAACTATTATACTTGAAATGCTAAAATCACACAATTACGATACTTTATGAACTAAAATTATTCAATAAAAAATTAAAAGATCAAAATTGTACAACTATAATACCTGAGAGACAAAAATTACTCAATTAAAATTTATGAGATTAAAATAGCATAATTGCTATATTTTAGGGACTAAAAACACATTTAAACTAGCTAAATTGCACATTTAATCCCACCATAATAGCAAATATGCAACTTTTATCCCTTTATTTTTATTTTCACAATTCTAACCCCCAATTTTATAAAATCCATAAATTTGGCCTCCTTAAATTGTAACACCAGCCATGATATGAGATTAAATAATTAACATAACAATTAATATTTCATAATATTCAAGCTAAATTTCACTTTTATTTCTCATTTTTATCACATAAGAGCAATTAAATTAGATGAAAATGAAACGACAATGAGAACTAAAAATATAATTTAGTCCATATAATTAAATATTAATTATACTATCATGATCTAATATTAGGTCATGACGAATTATATAATCTTAACGATTAATGAAGGTACATGTAATAAGGAGACCAAAATTGCAAATTTTAAAAATTTGGAGGACTAAAGTTATGCATTTAAAAAAAGACTAAAATAGGAAATTTGATATTATAGGAAGATAAAAAGCACAATTTAAATATATAAATTCATTTAAAATTTGTATAAAGAAACATTTTTAAACATATAAATTATATTTTAGATATAAAATAAATAATTTATATTGCAATACAACATTATTAATTATTGACAATTTATTTTAAAAAGTTAAAATTTAGATTATAAATAAAGACATAAAAAAACCGAATTAAATAAGAGATAAAAAAATTACAAACGCTCATATTAAAGCATAACTGGTAAAAAAACATCCTCCCTCAAATATATTGCATTTAATATATAAATTGATTTAATTAACAAATAAATATAATAAAAAATTAAATTAGATAAAAAGTTAGAAAAATCCCCATCAACACTCCAATAAAATATAACCCAGAACGATCTTACACAAGATAAATATTCTTATTTAATATAATTTTATTTATCTTTTGGATGGCCATGCATTGTATTGCTCTTTTATATAAGTATATAGAACTAATTTGAGTGAATGTTGTGTACACACTACAACTAAGTGTACCAGTCTAGTTCAGGCAATCTCGATAGTAATCAGAAACAAAATGTCAACGTCAAAGATTGAGGGGGTAACCTCATTTCTAAATTTGTATTAGACCAACTTGATATTTAATGTATCTCCTTAATAGAATCAATTTGGGTATTACTAAAAGGTGTTAGAAAATAAAAGAATCTCTACCACTTGGCTGGCTGTTCTTTGAATTTTAATCTTGAATGATCTTGACGTTCTTGGTCAGTGCAAGCAAAAGTTCTTATCTGCAACGGACGTGTCACAAAAGAAAGATTATATCACGCACAATATTTTTCCTAAACTAACATGGAATTAAAAGAATTACACACGCACATTGGTAACAAAAGAAGCAATTGAAGTAAAAGACATTGAATTCACATTTTAAAAGACGGAACGCAATAATGATGTCTCGTATGGCCATATTTTCCTTTAATATGAATTACGCTGGAACAATGTCCGTTTTGCTGCAAGCATGCAACAGGAACAATGTCTCCTACACAAGTATGGACTTTCATTAGCAACGATAACACGTTTCTTCTTTTCACAGCTCTAACTGACGTGAATTTCTGGCACTCGCAAAACTCGAAACAAATGCAACCTGCATTTATTAAAAGACTGTTCAATCCAATTTAAACGAAGATAACAAGCATTGATTGACTAGATTAAAATCTATAAAAATGTAGAACAAATAGAAAGCCATTGTAGAAAAGCAGGGTCAGTAAGCCTTAAGGCTGCTGCTGGTATTGCCACAGAGAGGTTGAGCATTTAAAGTACCTTTTATCAAAAATAGAGTGTCAGAACAGGAAAAAGATGAAACTTACCATTAATCGGAGTCCAACCATTTGGGCAACTAACAATCTCGAAGATGGTGACAAACCAAACAGTAGCAACAATATTGGCACGTGACTCACTAGCATTAGCATTCACCATTCATGCTTATCAAAGTGGTATAATGTATGTTAACTGCAGAGCTATTTGATTGCTAAAGATGCTGAAGCAGCAGCTGCCTCTGCTATTAAGGAAATAGGTTGATGTGCCTGGAGGCAGGCACCAATATCGAACGGATGCAGCTCAGAACCATCGAAAATAAGATTTACTCCAGGAAGGATTACATCTTTACTATCATCTGTTTCAGCTTTTATTGTGTTGTCTTGAGTAGCTTCATCAATTGGCCTTGTGGAAGCTTCTTCAATGGGCCTTGTGGCAGCTTCGTACACAGGAGTTAAGGCATAAGATCTGCATGCACCATCCAAAGGTATACAGTTTCTGAGAATTTGAATGATTAGGAAACCAAAATTGAGCTATAATGAACAGATAGAAGGAGTTACACCAAGTTTCTAAATATTTCAATGCCTTAGGTTTGAATAAAGTATTTCAATTTTAATTTTAAACTACAATAATAATAATAATAATATTATTAATAATAATAATAATAATAAATAAAAGAATAAAAGGAAAAATAAATATGATACCAATGCAGCAATATCCCGCTAAACAGTACAAGGTTCATATTGGTTAGCATGGCAGCATTTTAGGAATACATATTTCATTACAACAACAGGCAGTTGCAAATTTTGTACTCTTAATTTAGAATGCAATGCATCACAAAAAATGTCTACAATCATTGGATTAAATTACAGAACAAGCTAGGTAATTATTAATAATAAAGTAACTGATTTTATGCTTGTCCATCGAAAATGCTAGAAGAATCCATTCATAAGAAAATTCAGCAATCTTCAAGAATTGAATATTTAGAAGTTAACAAACCTAAGAATGCTGCCATCAAAGCTTAAAACTTCGGTTCGGCAGCGTTGTCTATTAGCAAGTTTTAACCTTTGATGCTCACTTGACGCCCCAGAAATGGGAGAAGAAGGGTCCATGAGTGGATTCCACCTTCCACTAGCATAATTCATAAGTTGTCGTGAGGATTCTTTAGCTTTCTCCTTCTGGTAAAGAATCTTCGCAGCAGGTCCTGTTGCTTGGTACTCGGCACAAATGTCGTTCAATTTTTTTCTTAAGCTTTGCATTGCATGATGGTGTTTTTCAAATGAGCCAGATTGAAGTAATTCAGAAGAAACAACCCTTCTACATATATTATTACACAACTTTGGACTGAATAGTGGCATCCCAAATTCAACACTCAACGGAACCCATTCATACTTCTCTTCAGGTGAGAACTGGTCTGATTCTCCTTCATTATATAATTTCAGTAGGCGAATATACCCAACCGTCCACAACTCCATCTTGTTTGCCAAATCAGTCAAGAGAGAATTCAGTTTTGAACTTTCCCCTTCACATATTCCTAACTCTTTTCCAACAGAAGTAATAGATCCATCAGAGTTCTTTAAGGGCAAAGGGATATCCATTGTGATCATCTTACCAGATTCATCAAGGTCAAACCTACTTAAAGGCTGCACCAGCACAGCTGAATGTTTAAGAATTGAATTTAAACAATGCAAGAGTATACTTCCCTTTACTAAATTTCCTCCATGCTTCCCTCCCAACCCTCCTACTGTGGAACCATCCCAAAACCATATGAGAGCTTTCTCACAACCAGCCAATGGAGCAGGAAGAAAGCGCAAACACTGTCCTTTCATCAGAACAACTGAAAGAGGCCCACTATTTACAGTTGAATATAATACCAATTTAATCCAAGGTGTCATAAAAGCATACGATGGGGGGCCAAAATGAACCAGGCCTGTGGGTCCAGGAAGAACTGATGAATGAGGAAGAGGCACTATGGACACAACTACATCATAATCACGTACAAACAATCGATCAAGGGTTGCTGGTGCAAGAGAAGCCAAGCTTTCACAGCGGAGAATGTCTACACGATATTTCTTTTTTCTTTTCAACATTTCTGTTCCAACATCTGACTCTTCAACCATTAGTTTCTCATTATTCTGAAGATTTCCATCTTCACGGGCTTCCTGTACATGACTATCATCACCTTCAAAAGGAATACAACTGGTTTCACCAACCATGTTACAAGGAGCAGCTTCGATGGAAGCAGAAGCCTCTACTGACTTGTCTAAATCTGGAGTTAATATATCATAAGTATTCATCCCAGCTTCTGTAATACCAGAATCTCCTGATTTGCCGGTCAGAGAGATTTCAGATATTAGAGAACTACACTCATTGCTTAGAGTAGCCATATCAATCTTATCTTGGCCCACTTTTGCATCAGAAGCAACTCCACCTGATTGTAGACATTCTAAGACACAACGCAAGCTAAATGCATGATTTGCAAATTCCTGCAGTTCCCCCTCAAATTTGGCACCTTCCAGAGTACTAAGATCCTTGCAAAGATCAGCAATGCTGGCATGTCCCAATTTCCCTGCTTCGTAGAGTGTAACAGCATGAGATTTCAGGCCTGACAAAGTTCAGCAGGAAGAATGATTTTGGTTAGACTATAGACATAGACATACAAATCTATAGGAATTGCAGGAATTGTGCCTATTTTTTACCAATCATGTAATCCTCTATTTATATTATTCAATTGAATAAGGATACAAAATAGGAAAATATGGAAATAAAAGATAACAGATAATAATGAGTAAAATCTCTAATTTCCTCTGTACAAGTTTTCCTAATTATAAAGGAATAAATCATATCAAAACATACATTTAACACTCCCCCTCAAGCTATTGACTTCATGCATCATTATTTGATGATATCTTGCCTGCAAATCTATCTTAGAAAAATAATCAGCACCATCCAACTCATCAAGTAACTCTTCAATGATTAGAATGGGATATTTGCCCGATATTGTGGCCTTGTTCCAGGAATAGTAATCCACACAAAATCGCCAACTGCCATCCTTTTACTTCACAGAAATCAAAGGGATTGAGAAAGGGCTTGTGCTAGGTTGTATCAGCCCAGAATTCAACATTTTAGCTACCAACCTCTATTTCAATCTTTTTATTGGTGAGGGTAACAATATGGTCTTCTATTTATAGGGTCTGATCCCTCCTTCAGTGTAATCTTGTGATACACAACTCTAGTAGGAGGAAGACCACTGAGTCAAAAAGACCCTAGGATACTTAATAGTGGTTGTAATTGTTTATCCTGATTCTCTTGCAATCTCAAATCCAGCCTATCCTTTGCTTGTCCATTCTCCTCCTTATCCACCCTGAAAAAAATATGGAATGGAGGTAGATTCAACCTTCGTTAATCATAGCAAGGCTCTTGATGAGACCTGGGGGTTAGTAAGCTTGGGGTCCCCCTTGATCACCACGGGCTCCCCATTTACTTTGAAGCACATATTGCCTAAAGCCCAATCTGCTAGCACTGGTCCCAATGTAGCTAACCAAGACACTCCAAAATAGCATAGACTCCACCCAATACAAATACAAAGAAATACCCTGTGAAATTGTCCATCAATCGCAATCTATAATCCCCTGCAACAACCTTGAGTTTTCCTTCGCAATCCATCACCTAATTTCACCAAATAAAAACTTACGGGGCTGATGTTCAAGTTTAATTTTTCTGCCATCTTCCTTGCAAGGAAATTTTCATAAGCTCCACTGTCAATAAGAATTTTGATTTGCTCTCCAATCATTTGAGCAAATAGCTTCATTGTACTCAGTTGAGCAATTCTACCTGCTGCACAGA